TCTTTCTCTCAAAATTTTTCTCCCATTCCCCTAATCACAAATTACTTGCTAAAACCAAGGAGAACAAGGAGATCAAGGAGGCTTTGGTGGAGTCTATCCTAGTTGTCTTCAAGGGTATATTCCTAACCTTTTTCTATTCCGTTTTTAAGCAAGATCTAGCTATTTTGGTTAGGCTGTGATTATCTGAAGATATGGCATGTAATAAGTTCATGTGGTGGTTATAATGGTTCGTCTAAGTTTGATATTATGGTGTGTAAGTTTTATGTATGTTGAGCATAGATTAGTTAGGTTTTGCATGATTATGGTTGAGGGGGAAAATAAATTCCTGCATACACAAAAAAGGAAGCCTTACAGTTTGATTTTGAACTTTTCCCATTTGAAGCAAGAATTCGTGTCATGGTTCGGATCATTGTTCATAGATCGCTACAATGCTTTCTCTCATAAAAAACACAACGTAAATTGTGAAAGATTCTGAATCATGGTTCTGAACCCATGAACTAAATGTCCACTTAGATATTAACATTCTGAACAAATCTCCATGACTGAGAAAAATGTAGTTCAAACTCTAGGTCGAGTTTTTGAGCCGTTTTCTAAGGCTCCGTTCATTTCACCAATTCGAATTTAGAATTCGAGTTTTGCTATAATAAAAAGCTCTTAGAAACAGTCACATTTAATTTTTTTGCTACAATAAAAAGCACTTACATAAAATTACATTTTAATTTGAATTAAAAATTTAAATCAACAAACTGAACGAGCTTTAAAACTGTGAAAAAAACTAAACAAAACTGTCAACGGACACAGCCTCTTTTTTTTTAACATAAACAAGTCATTTCGAGGCCGACTCACAGTTTCCACGAAATACAAAAATTTTAGATCTCAACGTTTTGAATAAATCTCCATGATTGAGAAAAAACATAGTTTAGAATCTACGTTGAGTTTCCGAGCCGTTCTCGAAAACTGCCCAAAACAGTTTTCTGTTAATAAGGGGCAGCCACTTTTTCAACGTAAATGGGCCGTTTTGATATTGAATCTTGATTTTTACAAAACACGGAACTTTTTAGTTTCGACAGGACGTGAAAAGAAGTTTTGTGAAGAATAAAATTTGAAAATCAACCTTTAAATGACAGTTAATGGCAAATTTAAAAAACTGTCGGAACTGCGTGGGCCCAATCATGTGAACTAAAGACAGGTCAATTAGAAAAGTACCACTTCTGTCATAGTGTCATTCAATTCTACGTGGGAAAGTTAGAAACAAATTACTTTCAATAAATAAAAAGACAAATTTACTTTAAATAACCAGATATGGTTAATCTAGAGACGACTCGAAGTTGTGTGTATATACGGTTTCCAAGTAATTTCCTGAAGAATTTCTATTAAAGGTGAGAGGAAATGCGATGGACCTAAGTTCATGACTATTATCTCTTTCACCGGAAGCTAAATTGCTTGGAAAATTAAGGCTCTGTTTATTTCACTGATTTAAGTTTAAAATTTAAATTTTATTACAGTAAAAAGTTCTCATAAATAATCACACTTAATTTTTTTATTACAGTAAAAAATTCTCACATAAAATCACATATCAACTCGAATTAAAAAATCTGAATAAGCGAACTAAACGGGCTATAAATGTGATGTGCATGTGAACAACTTTTTGACTATCACAGTATTTGGCGTCTTGTAAAAAGGTAGATTGCAACTTCTTGGAACGTATGGCAAGTTATACATAATAATGTACGTTATACAATACACCTCACCAAGCTCTTTCTTTTACGTTTGTTTCAGAACTCAAATCATATAATTAGTTATGTATGTGAGAGAAAAATATTGTAATAAAAAAATTAAATTTAAATTTTTGTGAAAAAAAATACTGTAATAATAAAATGTAAGTTGTGACTTAAATTGTAAACTGAACAAGTATTAACAATATAAAAATTGTAGCCTGTTGAAAGAAAGGTGGAGAACTACCTGCTAATCTATTACCAACGAAGCATAATTTTTTTTTTTTTTTTGGGAGGATAAAAACTTGCCAACTAACCCTCAAATAAAGCTGCTTAAGTTACGGATATTCCTTCAATTTGGCTTTTTGAGATTATATATTAACCTAGACATAAGAAGTCAATATTATCCAAGAAAACATTCGCCGTATCAAAAGGGGCTGTAATTATTACAATAGAGGACGCGTGCAAAAGGAGACATATATATATATATATATATATATATATCTGTGTGTGTGGTACCTACCATGCAAGAAATTGGGCTGGAAATATCAAAGAAAGAAGCAAGAAAAATGGGCAAAAGCACACAACCCAAGAACTCACGCAAAAGATCTTCCAGATGTCTATGGTTCTGTTCTTTGCAGGCTATAATTGAGAATAAGGACTAATTTATGGCTCGTCTTTGGAAAACCGTATTTTGCCTATTCTATGAGATAGTGAAAAGGATTTTGAAATGAATAAAAACAAAGAAAAACTGGTTCAGTCCAAGAAAGAGTACTGATAATGTATTTGTAAACATTGCAAATTAGAAATTACTGCCAATAAGGAAAAGAAGTATTTTCTAATTGGAACTATATATAAGTAAAAGGAATATGATTGGTAAGTGGGAAATTAGAAATTTCGGGGCTTTTTTTTTTTTTTTTCTTTCTCTAGAATAATTGGTGTTACATTTTAGGTTAATATGTTACATTGCAGACGTTGGATATAAGCTTAGCAGTTGAATTTATTCGGCGCCTGATGATATTAATTGGTGGCATATGCATGCAGTAAAACCTTGTTTTCGAAAAATAAAATTAAAAAATTAAAAATAAAGGATAGACAAATGCAGGCATTGAATACTTAATTAAACACACACATATAAACACATACAATATGATTATTTATTGACCAACATAAAACTATAGTGATGTAAATTAATCAACCAAAATTTAATGAAAAGACAAGAATAGAAAATTATGGAAGCAACCCATAGCTTTCAGGGCTCCAAAAAGCAGGTTTATTTCATCCTATAGCCTTCCCTTCTGTCTTGGTTTGGGATAAGAAAATCATGAAATTCTACAATAAGAGAAAAATGCTACGAAAATGGCGAATTTAACATATTATTACCTGCAATAAGGTTAAGAAATGGCAGTAACAAGTCAAAGGAAATCGGAAAGTCTGGCTCTCTTAGGATATGGTTCGGATCATATCAGAGTCCCTCACAATGGCTCTAGAAGCAGAGTTACAAGAGCCAGGATGGTTGAGCTGACTAATATGATTGAATTGAGATTGGACAGATGAATGGATATCCGCAATGTCAAACCCCTTCGCGTCACGGACGAGCTTATTCCTCGCAAGCCAAAGAGTATCCACAAGTCGTATAGAAGCATAAAGTAAATAGAATTCCCCATCAAAATGGTGTATGTTTGAGTTTTGGATCACCAAATAACACCATTTCGAGAAAAGAAGCCACATTTGAGGCGCATAAAGTAAGAATTGCCCGTCCAGATATGTGATCATGACCACCTTTTTTAAGTCCTGATTCCTTCTATACCATGTGTACCCGAGACACATTTGCTTTTCTACTTTAATTTAATCGATAACTCTTAAGATCAACTTCATTGTGATAGCCAAAACTATTAAAAGGTTGTGCCTCTTCCAACAATCAAAGTGTTTATCCCTAGGGCCAGCTGCCTCCTTAGTTTGAACCTTTGCCAAGTAATTTGCATTTTGTCGATGTCCTTTATTTTTCTTTTGGAAGTTCATTCCGGTTATTTGAGATATCTCTTTGACAGTGAAGAAAATGTCATCCAATTAAGTCAACAAAATGGTGCCGTTTTCAAAGCTGAAACCCTTGAAGAAGTTGACAATGGACATAAAGGAATCTCAGGAACGCAGTTACTCCTAATTTATATCCTGGTTTGTACCAAATGGTACAAGAAAAGAAAGAAACCTCCTTCGCAATTCATAACGATAAGACCCTTTTAACATTTTTTGGAGGTTTTAAATCTTGCAACCTCATGATTTTGTAAAGTTCTAAAAACAAAAAGAAAAAAACAATACTTGCAACTCTATTTTGATTTTTTTGGAGGTTCTAAATCTTGCAACCCCATGCTTTTGTAGAGTCCTAAAACTTGCAACTCTATTTTGATTTTTCTAGAGGTTCTAAATCTTGCAACCTCATGATTTTTTTAGAGTTCTAAAATCTTACAATTGTATTTTTTTATTTATTATTTTTGGAGGTTTTAAATCTTGCAACCTCATGATTTTTTAGAGTTTTAAAATCTTATAATTGTAATTTTTTTATTTATTATTTTTCGAAGTTCTAAATCTTGCAACCTCATAAATTTTCATTGGGTTCAAAGATTTATAACCTGTACACCTTGAAACATGAATCTGATCAACAATAACAAATGAACTTCTTTTTCTGAAGATGGCATTTCGGTATAAGGGAATGATTAGAAAGAAATTTGTAGGACCAAGATACATCATGAATGAAAACACAAAGAACCAGATAGGATATGCAACCACACTTTTTTCTTTTTTCTTCTTTTTTCTTTTTTTTTTTTTAACCTTTCCTTCTCTTTCTTGACAATCTTTCCTTCACTCTTTCTCTCTCCCACTTTCACTCGTAATATATTATATACTCAATTCACTTTTTTTCTTACACGAAGTTTGCACAGGGATCAAAGGTCAAAAGTCCCATTTTTCAAACACGCCTACATATTGGCATCTGAAGTAAATTAACCCATTAAAATCAACTTTTCCTTTTTTTCACATTTTATATTTTGCGCATACGCATTTACTTCCTCCAGGAAATTATCCACGTGACCAAGTTATATGTATACATATATTTATTTATTTCTTATTATTTATTTATTTACTTTTTTTTTTTTGTTTCAACAAAGATGCTTACAGAGAAAGGTTCAATTACTTCAAAACTATATTATACACGACTTCGAGTCTACTCTTGTACTAACACCAGATTACTGTTACTACTATATACATCTGTTTTCAGAGAGCTTAGTTATGGCTGCATCTTCTTCTGCTCCAAAACAAATGTATGATGTTTTTATAAGCTTCAGAGGTGAGGACACTCGCCACAACTTCACCGGCCATTTTTATGCAGCTTTGCGTCGGAAAAAAGTTCGTGCCTACATAGACGAGGATCGTCTTGAGAAAGGAGAGGAAATTTCACCTTCTCTTTTGAACGCAATTCAGGAGTCGAAGATTTCTGTGCTTGTTTTCTCGAAGAATTATGCTTATTCGTCGTGGTGCTTAACCGAACTCGCTCACATCCTCCGGTGCAAAGTGGTAAACAAGCAGCTCGTTGTTCCGATTTTTTATCATGTCGATCCGTCAGACATACGCCAACAACAAAACAGCTATGCGGCGGCATTTGCCAAGCATGAAAAGCGCTTTGAGGATGAAAAGGTGCAAATGTGGAGAAATGCTTTGAAAGAAGCAGCCAATGTGTGTGGCTGGAATATTGATTTCAATAGGTATGGTACTTTCTCCTTTTAAGCCTCCTCTTCGTTGATTGACCAAAATTCAAATAGATGGAGTTAGAGATATTACTAATTTAATTTTTTAGTTTTGTTCTAAATTCGAATGACGTATCTATGTTATTTTGGGATATTGTTGTGCCAAAACGTCAAATTAAGCAAATTCAACATAAAATATGAATAACAAAAAAATCTAAGAGACACAAAGATTTAGCGTGGCTCAGCTTGTAGCCAACGTCTATGAACAGAAACGACGAAGAAATTCTACTATAATCAAAGAAGATTACAAAAGCCTATAAAAAATCTATCATCAACTAAATCCTGAATGCACTTAAAATCTCTCAACCCAAAATTAAGAACTCAACTGTCAAAGAATAATTCTATGACGAAATATTCTTACACCAAACAAAAGAGAAAAAATATGTATTAATAGGAGAATACCATGCGGCTGCTATCACTCTTTGCGGCTGCTATACTCTTGCGCGCCTCTAATATATACATATAGCATATATAATGCTTTCTCCAAGTCAAAGTCAGCAAAACCAAAACCTGCCACAACACTAAAATAAAGGGAAAGATATGGGCCTTGGGCCCAAACCAAAAAAATGCTTTGTGGGCTTAATTTGAAGCCACACCTAATACTCTCTACCTTAACGAAAATTAAGCCAAGCCAAAATATGAAACTCGTCCGTCATTTCCTCCAAAACCCCACAAGGTTAATTTCAATTTGCAACACCTAATAAGTCTAAACGACGCCTGAACTTCTAAACGGCAACCAACTTGGTCACCATACTTGTCAGAAGTGATTCAAAACAAACCAAATTGTCGAACTCTACCTGCTCACGAACACCTGGATCTGTATATGCAACTAGTGACTCCCTTTCTTCACATAAGATGACAAAATTATCAACTCTACGCATTTCCAAACTTAGTGACTTTGGCTCAACAAACCACAACCAATAGTCATTCACCCTAAACTCAAATCCTAGAAATGTTTTTGTCCTTCGCTCAAGCTTACCATCATTCACATGAGTACACACAGAACAACCAAATCTCAAAACAAAATCAACAGAGCAAAAAAACCATACCTCAAACGGAGTCTTCAATCCAAATGCAGTTGATGGAGATCTAACCAAATAGCAGGCTGGAAAACCAAACTTAGAAAGCAAACAACAAGCTTTCCCTAAGAGAGTTGAATTCATACTATCTACGACTAACAACTGTTGTGACAAATCTCAAATAGTGCGGTGTCTCACTATCTTCTTCTCGCAGAACCCATAACTCTCACCAAATTGTACACTATTATAGTTATCAATAAACGTCAAAACTGACATCCCCACATCACTCACATGACCCGAATGAAAATGCCATGAACGAGTGATCTTAAAATTTCAACAAACGTCAAAACTGACATCCCCACATCACTCACATGACCCGAATGAAAATGCCATGAACGAGTGATCTTAAAATCTGGATCTAAGCAAGATAAGACCACAGTACTAGCACCAACAACTATACTACCCTGCAGAAAATAGAGGCCATTATGCAACTCTCCCTTAATCACCACATAAGCTCCCTTATTGACTCTCAAAACTCCACTTTCAACAGAATACCGATAAAATTGTGAGTTGAGAGTCCCCACAGAAACAATACTTTTCTTCAAATCTGACACATGTCTAACATCAGTCAAAGTCGTAACTCTACCATCAAACATCTTAACTTTGGCTACTCCAACACTAGCAACTCTACAGGACATAGTATTCTTCATAAAGACAACACCCACATCAATAGACTGGAAGTCAATAAACTAATCTCTATTAGGGCACATATGTTGAGAACATCTAGAATCAAGAATCCAAGAAGAAAAATTGAAATTGCCTACGCAATCACCAGACACAAATAGGACATAATCATCATCCTTAAAATCCTCAACAATAGTAGTTGATGCTTCTTCACCAGTTTCCTTGTTTCCCTTAAGCTTTGGGCAATCAACTTTCCAATGCCCTGGTTGGCAACAATAATTGCAGTTGCCTTTTCTATTTTTAGGCTTTCCACTATTTTTGTTTTCACTTTTTTCAATTCCTCTACCACTAACAACCACTACACCTGATTGATTTTCATCCCAATTTTCAGATTCCTTTTTCTTTTGTTCTTTGGAATTCAAAGACGCCTTAACATCTTCTAAAGAAATAGTGTCTCTACCATATAACATAGTATCAACAAAGTGCTCATACGAACGAGGTAAAGAACATAACAAAATTAATGCCTAATCCTCATCATCAATTTTCACATCAATATTTTTCAAATCCAGAATAACTCTATTAAATTCATCAAGATGACTTTGATAGATATACCTTCTGACATGCGAAGAGTGTACAAACGTTGTTTCAAATAGAGCCGATTGCTGAGAGACTTAGTCATATACAGACTTTCAAGCTTAAGCCATAACCCAGTAGCAGTAGACTCGTCAGTAACCTCGCGCAACACCTCGTCTGCCAACGACAGTTGAATAGCACTGTGTGCCCTTTCCAAGAGGTCTTCTTTCACATCATCTGACAACATTGAAATCATTCTTCCAGTCGAATTTTACAATTTCATACTTTGTCATCTTTGTGGAAGTCATAAATCCCAAAATAATTTGACAAATAAACCAAATCTCTAATACCAGTTGTTTGCCAAAACGTCAAATTAAGCAGATTCAAGACAAAATATGAATAACAAAAAAATCCAAGAGACACAAGGATTTAATGTGGTTCGGCTTTTGGCCTACGTCCACGAACAGAAATAGCGAAGAAATTCCATTATAACCAAAGCAAATTACAAAAACCTATCAAAAATCTCTCACTATGCAAATCTCGAATACACCTAAAATCTCTCAACCCAAAAGTAAAAACTCTAACTGTCAAAGAATAATTTTATGACCAAATATTCTTACACCATACAAAAGAGAGAAAATATGTATTAATGGGAGAATACAATGCGGCTGCTATACTCTTGCACGCCTCTAATATATACATATAGCATATATAATGCTTTCTCCAAGTCAAAGTCGGCAAAACCGAAACCTGCCGCAACACTAAAATAAGGGAGAAAGAGGAAAATATGCCAAAATTTGAGATGAATTAAAATTAATAAGTTAATAGTTTACATAAGTTAATAAATATGCTAAATTACTGTTTTCGTCCATAACTTGTCTGGTTATGAACCATAACTTGACAAGTTATTTACGGTTTTTGTTCATAACTTGTCTGGTTATGAACCATAACTTGACAATTTTGTCCATAACTTATCTGGCTATGAACCATAACTTGACAAGTTATGGCCTATTAATTTCTATAACTAAAAATTAACCTATATACTTTCTTAAGCTTTTCATATTGGCATATTTTCTACTATTTCCGCTAAAATAAAGGGAAATATATGGGCGTTGGGCCCAAACCAAAAAACATGTTTTGTGGGCTTAATTTGAAGCCACACACCCAACAGATATTAAGGTTAGTTTTACATTGTCAGTTCAGGACATGTTTGCATATTATGAATGAAAAATGAATTCTTGAATCAAATGTTGTATTATTATCCCTATTACACTTCGTTACTTTTCTTAAACCGGTTCTTAACATTGGTTGTTATTCCTTGTTATAACTTGGTTTAATTTCATAGTTTGTAATTTGGTTTGTCTAACTGTAGGAGATTTGTAATCGAATACCAGATTTCTGTTGATGAAGAAGTATTGAGATTTCAAATTCCATCTCGAGTTCTAGTACTCTCTGGAATTCTTTCTATGCTCCTTTGATCTCTCTAATCTCCATTGGCTTTACTTCTCCGAAAAAAAATTATCTCTTCTCCTTCGGTTATGATCATAGAACCATGCAAGGAAAAAAAAAAAAACAAAGAAAAGAAAAAAACGAAACCACCAGCTAGCTTGAAGAATTTTGATTTATTGATTCCTTTGATTGATTTTTTTTTCTTCTTCTGTTGATGGAAAGCATCAGTTGATTTTAATTTTCTATCGGATACTTTGTGATTGAATTCCATAATTCGATTGATGAAAAAGTATTGAGATTTAAGATTTCCTGCTCTAGAACTCTCTGCAATTCTTTGGTCTCTCTAATCTCTGGTACTTCTCTGTAAAACATTTCTCTTTTCCTTCGATCATACATCATAGAGCCATGCAAGAAAAAAACAGGCACTAACTCGAAGCTTTCAGTTTGATAGATTCTGTAATTCGTTTATTTTATTTTATTTTTTTTCTGTTGGTGGGAGACATTAGGTGAATTTATGGCTCATTCATTTCAGTTATTCGAGTTTAAAATTCGAGTTTTATTACAGTAAAAAACTCTCAGAAATAGTCGTATTTAATTATTTTACTACAATAAAAAGCTCTTATATAAAGTCACATCTTAACTTAAATTAATAACTCGAATCAACGAACTAAACGAGCCTTTAATGTCCTATATTATCTAAGTAGCCTCTGTTATTTTTAATTTGATACCTAACATGAAGCTCATTCGGTACTAAGTTGAATTGTTGTGAAATCTGGTACAAGTTCAGTTCGTAGGTCTGGGCCCATGCAGTCCAATTTGAATCAAGTTCACCATCCGAACATGCTTTTGGAACAAAAAATCCGGATTTTGTTTAAGTTGAAAAATCTATGGTCCCGTTCATTTCACCGATTTGAGTTTTGCTACAATAAAAAGCTCTAAAAAACAGTCATATCTAATTTTTTTGTTACAGTAAAAAGCTCTCACGTAAAGTCACATCTCAACTCGAATCAACGAACTAAAAGGACCCTATATAAATTCCCATTTTTTGTATTTGACCACCTGAAATTTGGTGATTTGAACCTTTTCGCTGTAAGAATTTCAGAATTTTAAATTTAAACAATAAAATTTAAATAACATAAATTATCCTACGAACCAAAGAGAGCAATGGTTTTGCCAAACTTCCCCCAATTTCCCGATAAAGAGCCCACATTTGCAAAATGGCTTATTTAATCATTAGTTGCTAGATCTCTTTTCTTCTTACAAGATCTAAAAGTTAATAATTTCCATGTGTTCTTTCATAACTTGATGTGCATGTTTTATAATTAGTTCTTAGATTAATTGTTTTGGTATGTACGCCAGATCCGAGTCTGAAGTAATTGAGGAAATTGTCAAAGACATTCTAAACAGGTTGGATAACATGTCATCTAAAGATGAATTCAAGGATCTGGTTGGAATTGACAAACAAGTTCAAAACATTGAACTATTGCTATCTTTCAATTCATTAGATGTTCTTATTGTAGGACTTTGGGGCATGGGCGGTATTGGAAAAACCACCCTGGTCGAAGTCATATTCAGTCGATTTGCTCCTCAATTTGAAAGTTGTTGCTTTCTTAGAGACATTAAGGAGACAAAACGACATAAACTTCAAGAGTTACAAAAGAAACTCTTCTCTGAGTTGTTGAAGGAGAAAATAGTAAATGTCAATCAATTTGTAAAGGATAGGCTTCAGCGTACGAAGGTGCTAGTCGTTCTTGATGATGCAGATGATGTAGAGCAGTTAGAGTATTTGGTTGGAGATCGCGATTGGTTTGGCCTGGGGAGTAGAATCATTATAACAACTAGAGATAAGCAAGTTCTGAAAAATATCCAAGCTGATGGAATATATGAGGTTGATGAATTAAATTCTCATGATGCTCTTCAACTGTTTTATGCTTCAGCATTCAAGGGAACCTCTCCCTCACCAGTTTATGTAGAAATGTCGAAAAGAGTGGTCACTGAATATGCTAAAGGTGTTCCTTTAGCCCTTAAAGTTTTGGGCTGTCACCTTTGTTCCAAGAGCATAGAAGAATGGGAAAGTGAACTGAAAATGTTGGAAAATATTCCCTATGACAAAGTTCAGAATGTGTTGAAAGTAAGTTATGATGGTCTGTGTTCCGAAGAGAAAAATATATTTCTCGATATAGTTTTTTTCTTCATTGGTATGAAACAGGATGATGCAAAAAGAATACTCGATAGCTATCGCTGGGGAGTTGATATGGGAATTAGTGTTCTCATTGACAGGTCTCTTTTAACAATTGATTGTTCCAACCGGCTGTCTATGCATGATCTGGTACAAGACATGGGTAAGGAAATTGTTCGTCAGGAATCTCCTAATGAGCCTGGAAGGCGCAGCAGGCTTTGGTTTGCTGAAGATGTTTGTAGTGTCTTGAAAAATAATACTGTAAGTACCATATACATTGTGTGTGTTCGTCTGTGTGTGTTCCGGTTTTTTTTTTTTTTTTTTTTTTTGCATGCTCATTTATGAATTGTTTCAATTTCAGACAACCCCAGAAATTCAAGGAATGTCCCTGGACATGTCTAAAATTCGTGCTGCCATATGCATGAGTCCTAGACTTTTCAAAGCGATGCCTAATCTCAAATTCCTTCGGTTTTTTGGTTATTATGTTGAGGAAAAGCTGAAACTTCAAAAAAAAGGTCTTAAATGTCTTCCTAGTGAGCTCAGATATCTTCATTGGGATAGTTTTCCTCTAAAACGTTTGCCTCCAAAATTTTTACCTCAAAATCTTATTGAGCTACACCTGATTAACAATAAGCTTGAGAAGCTTTGGGATGGCGTTCAGGTATAGTTTAATTTTCACTTGTTTTAAATATGTTTTGTATGTAACAGGCATAATATAATTTATTCCTGTATTTCTCTTTCTTGACAGCATATTGTGAGCTTAAAAGTTCTAAATCTTGAAGGATCTAAGAAGCTTACTGAAATTCCAGACCTCTCTTTGGCACTAAATTTGGAAAAGATAAATCTCAGTGGCTGTATAAGCCTTGAGCGTCTTCCAGGAGGCATTTGCAAGCTGGAGTTGTTGCAGGATCTTATGTTATCTGGCTGCTCAAACATTGACGAATTTCCAGAACTTCCAAAAAATATACAATGTTTGTATATGGATGAGACAGCAATAAAGAATGTGCCGCCATCAATTGAGCATCTCTCTCATCTCCTGGTATTTGATTTGACAAACTGCAAAAGGCTTGAGAGCCTTCCGACCAACTTTTCTAAGTTAAAATCTCTCGAACAGCTCTACATCGGTGGTTGTTTAGCATTAAACTACTTGCCAGAAATTAAAGAGCCCATGGAACATCTAACTGTGCTTCAAACACAAGAACCGTGGATTAGACCATGGCCCTCCTCAAATGAAAAACTTGATGGGATTACAAAATTAGTCCTACAAGAAACCCGTGTACCTGAAATACCTGATTGGCTCTTCTCTTTACCCGGATTAGACGTGTTAAATCTCTGTGAATCAAATATTATTAGAATTCCTGAAAGCATCAAACGTTCTAAGTTGAAGCGTTTGTACGTAAGAGATTGCAAGTTCCTTCAGTCTTTACCAGAGCTTCCTCTTTCCATACAGGCTGTTTATGCAGCGGGGTGCATATCAATGGAGATGGTGTCAAATTCATGGAGTCTACTTGCACAAGGGCCTAAAGGGGATCTGTCCTTTCAGAGGCGGTTTTCATTTGAGGGTTGCTTAAAGTTGGATCACAAGAATGTCATAACTGAGTTTCAGCTTAGAGCATTATTCTATGCCTCAATACTACCAGTTTCGAAACATAAGGTATGTCTTTTCTTAAAGTTGAATTTAATATTAGAATTTTTTCCGTTGCAAGGGAACTAGTAGTAGCCAGACTTGATAGGGTATATATTTATATGTATCTTCTTGCTCTTGTAAAAATGTGTATGTTTTACATCTGGATGCCGGTTTCCGCACTTCACTTACACAAAAAGGTTGTAGATTCGAGAAGGTATATCTCTTCTTTCTCTTCTTAAGATGACTGTATTAGTTTTCATATTTGACGTAATCCTGATTTGCTAATTAAGGTACAGGAGAGGCATGTGACTCCGCTTGAAGTTATTGTTTCTTATCCGGGAGATGAAATTCCTGAGTGGTTTAGCTATCAAAACGTTGGAGATTCAATAGATATGATGCTTCCCACAGAGTATACAAATTTCATTGGTTTTGCCTTTTGCTTTGTTGTTGAAAATGCCCACAATGATGATATCAACAAGGACGTATATTTAAATTGGGAAATCTATCTCAAAACCAACAGTAATGGTGAAAGACGTTTCCAACTTTTGTCAAAATCCAAATATTTTGGAGGCAATTATGGCTTAAACCATGTGTTAATGAGCACGCATCTAACTGCAGCTGCATTTGACTTTGATCCTGTAATAGAGATGTCATTTCACTTCAGTTTTGAAGATCCATTAAAACGCAAAATAAAAAGTTGCGGAATCCGCCTGCTTTCTCTCCAGGACCCAATTGAATTTGGTATCATCAGTGATCAATATGTATTTGCAGAGGCGAATGTTGTCGCCAACGAGCTGCAACCAAGTGGATTTTTAAAGAATATCATATACCCTTTGTTCAGCTTTCAGGGTTTCCCGTCAAGGCAACAACTTTGTGAGAAGATATTGAGTTGCAAGATACTGCACAGGCACAAGACGTTTTGGTTGCTGCTTGTTTTGGATTGTTTGCCAGTACGAGAAGTTGTTAATTACCTAATGGATTTGGACACCACTTGCCCGCTCTGTGGCTTGGTTTCGGAAAGTGCCACCCATCTGTTTCTGTACTGCCAGAGTGTTGGGCCTCTTTGGTTCTTGTCGCGGTGGGGCCTCAACACAAATTCTCTCTGCTGTGATTCCATGGCTACTTTCTTGGAACTGGTATTATTTGGTGATCCAAACTCATTATGCCATTTTAATGGAGATTTCTTACTTTATGCTTCTGTACTTTTGGAAACTATTTGGCTTGCGAGGAATAAGCTCGTTCATGAAGAGAAGACATTTGATATTGCGGATATACATTCCTCCGTGCAAGCTCAATTCAACGATATTATTTCGCTTAAACCATATCCTAAGAGAGCTATATGTTTCAATTCCTTCAAACCAGTTTCTGCCATTGATCCCTGATTGCAGGTAATACTATACTAATTTCTCTATTTTTGCAACACTGCAGAGATTACAGCTTTCTTTTGGTGCCCTGAAAAGTGATGGCTGCTTTTGTCTTCTGATTTTTTTTTTTTTTCTTTTTGTTGGTACAGATCCCATTTATCTTTCGAATAAATTAGGGTGGATTAGTTTTTGGCTCTTAGTTCCTTTTTAGTTTTCAATTGGTCAAATTGTTTTGCAGGATCTCAAATATGGTTTATGAGCCATAACAGTAGGCAGGAGTTAACAAAATCTGAATTTGGATTATAAGTAGTTCAACAATATCCGAGATAATTTGTCGTCTACCAAACACACACTTTCAAATAATATTGCCAAAGGAAAATCCTTCTTTTCTTGAGTTGCACTAATTGCTGATTCACAATGTTTATGAATGCATATGCAGTCAGGAAGATAAAAATCAGAACACTTACCTTTTTTGCTTTTGTTTTCTTCCTTTGATTGTCCAATTCTTTACAGGCTGAAAAGTTAGAGCTAATAATTTCCTTAATTTTCTCTATTCATTGCAAAATCTTCTCTAGAAATCTCAAAAAATAGAGCAAAACTTAGTTAACAGATGAGCCATATATAAATAGTCCTTATCTTTAAGCATGGCCCGAACTTATCAACTATGAGTTTTATACCATATAGACGCAGAATAAAGAAAAGACATGTCTTTGAAAAAGAAACCATTAGAAAGAGTGATAATTTAGCGTGTATTGTGAGTAACAGAATAATACCAAAAAAAAAAGTATACGAGTGGGGACTGTAGGAAAGCTCTAAGTTCTTGACAGAGCCTAAATGGAAAAAACTATAAGGGGTGAGGAATAGCTCCTGATTAAGGAAGTGTAAAGAGCAAAGTTTAGAGGATTTCCTCTAAACTTTGTCTTGAGTGAGAAAGTAATAAGTGTGATGCCTAAAAAAGTTGTCATTTTGGTGTTTTTTTTTTTTTCCCTAAAAAAAATGTGTTTATTCCTTAAAATGAGTAAATGTATAGTTGTTTGATTAATCATGGTTATAAAATGACTAACTATTTAGAAAGTAATGTACACTTAGTTAATCATTGTAACCTAGCTTATTGTAATCATGGTTATTGTAACATTGTAAGGTGTGAAATGTGCATGAAGTAGCGAAATGGACAATTTCGCTACTTCATGAGCTATTCCGTAGTTCTTTCTCATGGCGTGCTGTCAAGACCAATTAAACAACTTTAGCAAGACTTAGAGGAAACACTACCAGTCCACACATACATGTATACTTCCCACGTGCAAAATCACCCCTTTGGTGTGTGCGAAAACATCATAAGAAAAAGAAAATACTTCCCTGGTTAAGGTTGTTTTGAGTCTTTGTTGGCTGAATAACTTACTCTGATTGAGGACCTTCTGATCAACTATGAAGCTAATTCTGAAGCTAACTCTGAACCTGCATGACTCTCCAAAGTTGCTGCGAGTAATTCTCAATCCGAATGCTAGTTTGCTGTGGGAAACATGTTTTCTAACCTGGTGTCATGTCGTTAGTGACAGACTGTAGCGCTTCTTTGTATAGGTCATCCCACTATACATTAACAAATGTTTTCATTGAAAAAGAAATAAGAAAAACAAAAATGAAAGCCTATTAATTTGTATAACAAAAAAACTATATCAATAAAGTACATTATAAAGAATTAGATCAGTAACGATAGAAAGGCATCCTTAGCATGCTCTAGAGATAATCAAAAGATGAAGAAACATGAGTGTCAGAACAAAATGACACTAATAATAATGTTAAAAATGACAGAGACAATAAAAGCGATCAAAACATTACATTAGCAAGGATATGATGAAAACATATAACAATGAAAGGAAACAAAATGACACTAATAATAATGTTAAAAATGACAGAGACAATAAAAGCGATACAATAGCAATCAAAACATTACATTAGCGAGGATATGATGAAAACATATAACAATGAAAGGAAAAAAACATAAACATAAACATAAACTTACAATAAAGCAATCTGCACTCCTCGAACAGAATGGGGATCGAGCCATTGACATATTTGGAATATAGCAGTTGTATGATGTCGTCTCTGGTGCAAATAAAATACAGAGAGAATATAATAGTGGGTATATCTGGACTTACTTGATTCTGAAGACATTTTGCACTCCTACATCGTGAGCATGACCGATTTTGAATCAAATCTGCAATCACCCGGCGACAAGTGTGATCGAATCCTTATACTATTTGGACTGTAGCACTTGCATGATGCTGTCATGCATCTCTGGTGCAAATAAAATACAGATAGAATACAATAGTGAGTAGATGGTATAATATTGCACGTAATAGTACAAATTTGTTATGAAATCTGCCCTCACTTGATTCTAAATACGGTGTGCACTCCTGGATCGCAAGCATGATCGATTTCGAATCAATCTGCAATCACCCCGACGACAAGTGCGATCGAATCCTTATACGATTTGGACTGTAGCACTTGTATGATGCCGTAATGCATCTCTGGTGCAAATAAAATACAGATAAAATACAATAGTAAGTATACGATAAAATATTTTGTCCAAAATAGAGCGGTTTGTTATGAAATGTACCCTTACTTGATTCCAAAACGTCACACACTCCTCGATTTCAAGCACGGTCGACTCGGAAGCAATCTGCATTCCTTGAACACAAAGCATCAATCACAAGCGTGATTGAATTTCCTCGCCAAAGTTGATTAACTCCTAAAGCTTGTTTCTGTTATAGTGCAATTTGTTATGGAAGCAGGGTAAAATAAAAATGGAATACTCAAAAAACTAAGCATGTATAGGATTATATCAATAGTGATGATAACATATTCATTTACACAAGGGGCAAAAAAAAAAAAAAAAAACAAATAACCATAAAGTATAATAAAAAGAATAACAGTAAAACTAGTATATACATGATGCAAACGTATTAAGAAAAGGAATAAAACATTATAACTAACCGTTCGACAAAAAGAAAAGTTGAAAAGAGAAAAACTCTTAATACAATTTCGCAAACGTGCACAGTAAAGGAATAACACATCTCTTATAAAAATTAATTGAAACTGACAATAAAAACGTTTTATTATATCAACTACAATAAAATACTAAGAACAGCATAAAAACATTAAAGAAAACGTAATAACAAAACAAAACAACAAAACAATACTTTAAGAAAACATTCCTCAATCACAAGCTGCTAAGAAGATTTATATATATATATATATATAGAATATTATAAAGTACCTCTGAAGCAAACTCCTTTGTCACAGGGCCAGATTTGACTCCAAAGAGTTGGCTTAAATTGTTGTGGAGAGGCTCTCTGTTGTTAGCATGCTGCGTATGAATCAAATATGCAATCCCCCGACAAGTACGATCGAATTCTTATACTATTTTGACTGTAGCAGTTGTAAGTTGCCGTCATGCATCTCTGGTGCAAATAAAATATAGATAGAATACAATAGTGAGTATATAATACAATATTACACATACTGATACAAATTCATTATGAAATCTGCCTTCACTTTATTGGGAAGACGTTGTGTGTGACAGCCATCAATCCCTTGAGACACAAGGCCAAGAAAGGATAAGTTGTGCAGTCTTACATCGCCTGAGGATGAAGATAGTTCCTGGTTTATAAGGAATGACACCACCTCCTAATGGTATGAGGCCTTTTGTGGTAAGGTACGAAAGTAAAACCGTGTAGGCTCAGGCCTAAAGCGGACAATATCATACCAGGTGGGGGTGTGGATCGTTACATATGGTATCAGAGACTCTACCCAGCCGGAAATGTGGCCAACGAGGACGTTGGGCCCCCATAGGGGTGACCAAGAAAGGGTTAGTTGTGCAGTCTTACATCGCCTGAGGATGATGATAGGTCCCGGTTTATAAGGAATGACACCACCTCCTTGTGACGACCCTCCTATGAGGCCGCCACTGTAACTTAAACTTTAACTTGTACTTACTGGGGTTTCTTAAAATTTGCGGAATATTTTTTTTTTTTTAATATAAGAAAGAATACTTTCATAATTTGTAACAATAATTTCAAATAAGTGAATCACTAAATTTCTAAAAGCTTTTCTTAATTTCAGTTAAGATAAAACGTTCTAAAAATATCTTTCAAACAGAGCAGCATTTGAACTCTTATTTCAAATGCTCTTTAAAAGCCTTTCTAAAACTAGCCAATTCAATCGGGCCATTTAATTTTGACTTTAAAACGGATTTCGTGAGAAATCTTAAATTCAAGTACATCTTAAAGCCCTTTTAAAATCAATCATTTAAATCGTCATGTTTAAAATTTATTTATTTGTTGCA